TATTAAAGAAACAGATAGAATAAAAATCGCTTATATTCATATATCAACTATTCAAATAATCTTAAAAAGTACTGTTAAATAATTTAAATACACCAATAGAATTAGAAATCAGAGATGATCGTATAATTAATAACCAAGAAAGTATTATTGCAAAAGGAGAAGGTAATTTAATTGAAGGAAAAATAAAATTTGATATTAATATTCAATTAGGATTAAGTCTTAAAGATAAAAATTTAAGTAATAGTATTACTGTACGATATAAATTATTAAGACAAAATTTTATGATAAAAGGTAATCATCCATTTACTATTACATATCAAATAAATTATGCATTAACAAATTCTCATCATAGTATTACATTTAAAACAGAAGATAGAATTTATATAGATAAATTATTTACCCCTTTATTATCCCTTGAATCACCAAATATGACTAATAATAGAATATTCAATGAAACTAATTTTCAACCAATAATAACTACTCCGTTAATAAAAGAAGTCCAATTATAGAACCTCCATTTTCAACTATAATAGGTAGATCTTCTATTTCAGAATGTCAGCCTTCAACATCTAATGAAAATAACGATGAAAAGCTAGAAGATATTAAAGAAATGATTAGATCATTAAGTTTAAGAATATGACAGAATCATCTAGTAATTCCCTAAAATATTTTAAAACACTTGAAGGATCATATCAAAATACAAAACCATGTATACCAGATAAAAAAATGAATAATAAAACCCAAATATACTATAATTACAATGATAAATAAAAAATTATGGAGTTATAAAAACAAAAAAATCACAAAATCGAAATCTAAAAACAATACGCAATGTTTCAACCACTCTAACAAACACAACTTGTTAATATAAAAGCTTTACAAGAAAAAACATCAATTAAAAGAAATTTATAAACTAATCCTAAAATGAGTAAAAGAAAAACAAATATTAACCCAAACAGTACCTTTATTACAACCAAAATACAAGATAAAGAATTAGTTTCATATATAGATACAGGAGCTACTTTATGTTTTGGAAGAAAAAAGATATTAAAAAATTGGGAAAAATTAGAAAAGCCATTAAAGATCACAATTGCTGATAAATCAATTCACAAATTTGGTTCGTAGAGAGATATAGATATAGTAATTGAAAAAACATCATTCAAAACTCCAACTATATATCAACATGATTCAGGAATAGATTTAGTTATAGGAAATAATTTCCTTAAATTATATCAACCATTTATACAAACAAATGACGATATAAGTCTCAATCATCCAACAAAAGGTATTATAAAAACTGCAATTATCAAACATTATGATCTTATTAAAATAATCAAACAAGAGGTTGGCTTTCAATTACGCATATTACTAACATTTGCTAAAGAAATTGCTGAAAAACAACTCGAAGAAGTATGTAGCGAAAACCCGCTAGATCATTTAAAAAATAAAAATAATCAAGAAATAAATTATTAAAAAAACCCTAATGTTGAAGTTAATGTTCCAAATAAAATTCCATACATCATAAAAGATGTTTCTGAATTCAAACAGGAATGCATTGAACTATTAGAAAAAGGAATCATTCGACCTAGCAAAAGTCCTCATTCAGCACCTGCATTTTATGTAGAAAATAATAATGAAATAAAACGAGGCAAACGAAGAATGGTAATCATTATAAAAAAAATGAATGATGCTACTATAGGAGACTCATATAAATTACCACGAAAAGAATATATTTTAGAAAAAATAAAAGGAAATACACATTTTAGTACATTTGATGCAAAATCCGGATATTGGCAATTACGCTTACATGAAAATACGAAACCACTAACCGCTTTTTCATGTCCTCCTCAAAAGCATTATGAATGGAATGTTCTTCCATTCGGTTTAAAACAGGCACCGGCAATATATCAGCGATTCATGGATGAAACCTTAAATGGTTTAGATCATATTTGTCTTGCATATATTGATGATATAATTGTTTTTACAAAAGGAAACGAACAAACACACATTGATGCAGTCATCAAGGTTTTACAAAGAATTAAAGAGAAGGGTTTAGTTTTATCAAAAAAGAAATCAAAACTTTTTCAAACTACAGTTGAATATCTCGGTTTAAAAATTGGAGAAAATGGTCAATTATCATTAACAGACAATATACGAGAAAAATTAAATATGTTTCCTAATAACTTGAAAATACAACCAAATACAACGATTTCTTGGTTGTTTAAATTATATTGCAGAACAAGGATTTTTAAAAAATTTAGCAAAAGAAAGAAAAGTTTTACAAAAGAAAATATCAGAAAAAATACCTTGGTCTTGGACCAATACAGATACTATTTTAGTACAAAAATTAAAAACAAAAACATTCAAGTTCTCCCTACTCTATATAATGCAAAAATAGATGATTTCTTAATCGTAGAAACAGATGCATCACAAGACACTTGGGCAGGATGCCTAAAAGCAATTATACGAGGAAAAGTATTATTGGGATTAGATAGTGAGGGAAACCTCATATCTAACTCATCAAAAGTATATTCTTTTCGTGGTAATTTATATGAGTCTCCTATAGTAGCATCATTCAGCACCTGCATTTTATGTAGAAAATAATAATGAAATAAAACGAGGCAAACGAAGAATGGTAATCAATTATAAAAAAATGAATGATGCTACTATAGGAGACTCATATAAATTACCACGAAAAGAATATATTTTAGAAAAAATAAAAGGAAATACACATTTTAGTACATTTGATGCAAAAATCCGGCTATTGGCAATTACGCTTACATGAAAATACGAAACCACTAACCGCTTTTTCATGTCCTCCTCAGAAGCATTATGAATGGAATGTTCTTCCATTCGGTTTAAAACAGGCACCGGCAATATATCAGCGATTCATGGATGAAACCTTAAATGGTTTAGATCATATTTGTCTTGCATATATTGATGATATAATTGTTTTTACAAAAGGAACGAACAAACACACATTGATGCAGTCATCAAGGTTTTACAAAGAATTAAAGAGAAGGGTTTAGTTTTATCAAAAAAGAAATCAAAACTTTTTCAAACTACAGTTGAATATCTCGGTTTAAAATTGGAGGAGAAAATGGTCAATTATCGTTAACAGACAATATACGAGAAAAATTAAATATGTTTCCTGATAAACTTGAAAATAGAAAACAAATACAACGATTTCTTGGTTGTTTAAATTATATTGCAGAACAAGGATTTTTGAAAAATTTAGCGAAAGAAAGAAAAGTTTTACAAAAGAAAATATCAGAAAAAATACCTTGGTCTTGGACCAATACAGATACTATTTTGGTACAAAATATAAAACAAAACATTCAAGTTCTCCCTACTTTATATAATGCAAAAATAGATGATTTCTTAATCGTAGAAACAGATGCATCACAAGACACTTGGGCAGGATGCCTAAAAGCAATTATACGAGGAAAAGTATTATTGGGATTAGATAGTGAGGGAAACCTCATATCTAACTCATCAAAAGTATACAATGATAAAGCATACACTGGTATGAAAATACCATCTGAAGTAAACAATGATAAAGTATACAGTGATATGAAAATATCACCAAAAGCATACAGTGATATGAAAATATCACCAAAAGCATACATTGATACAGATGTATCATCTGAAGTATTAAAAACAGATAAATACGAGCAAAAAACTATGCAAGTATATATCGGGAACATTTTCCCAAACGGAGCAAAATTACAGCACACATGAACGAGAAACACTAGCATGTCTCAGAACATTGAAAAAATGGAAGTCGAGCTACTTCAAACCAGATTCGAATTACGCACAGATTCCAGTATCTACTTGGCTTTTGGCGGTATAAGTTACAAGAAGATTACTGTCGAGGACGATTGATCCGGTGGCAATTACAATTACATCAATTTCATCCATATCTCAAGTATATCAAAAGCGCCAACAATCATATAGCAGACACATTGACAAGAGAATGGAAGCCATCATAGAGAAACAGTTAAAAACATTCCTACTCGATTATGAAAGAGGCACCATTCATGAAAGATTAACGTCAGCCATGACACAAGCAAACATTATTCAAAAAAACATGTCTTTTCGGAGGCGGGAGGAATGACGTAAGCAATGACATAAGAAGCCATTAGACACATTATTGAAGACATGTGGCCTTTCAATATAGAAAGGAGTTGTAATTATTTAGGTTTTGTCTTTTATAATTATTGTATGTCTATTGTATTATTGTGATGTAACATAAAGTGTTAGTCCCTCAATAGTCTAGGGGGCTATATTGTAAATATGTTTGTCATATTGCAATCAAACGATTGCAGTTCTATTATTGTACTCGGCTCCTTTGAGCCTATAAATAGGGCATTTGCCCATATGGAATAAACAAGCTAAGTTTGAGTGTTTAAGATTTGAGTTGATCTCAATCTTCTTCTGTTGAAATAGCTCGTCTATTTCTGAATAGCAGAACCCTATCCAAACATATCCATATATTCATATAAACATATCGAACCCAGACAATCAATCCATCGTCAATCCATTCCGACGCATCATTCAGGTATATTCTGTCTTAATCATATTAATTCCGCAATGTATTTCAATTTTGTGGCCCCTGCTCTCCGATTTTCATATATATATATATATATATATATATATATATATTATACTTTCGTACCCTCAAAATAAATGTCCAAGCTTCGTCACTGTTTTCGCAATCAGCCCCAAAATAAATGTCTAAACTACGTCACTGTTTTCGCAATCAGCGTTCTCAATATGATAGATTTTTAAAAAAATGTAAATTTGCAGGCCATGTGGATTTTCATACATGGTGTCCTATAAAAACTATAAAAATAGATATATATATATATATATATATATATATATATATATATATATATATATATATATTATATTATATATATATATATATATATATATATAGAGAGAGAGAGAGATTTTAAAGGAAAAGAAGAGAATAAAAATAGAACAGATGTTGACAAAATTTATGTCACTGTTCTTAGAAGGTCGTTTGTTTGTGTGAAGATTTCTTATCTGGGATCTCTCTCTCCTAAAAAGAAAACCCCCAACTTTCTCTCTCTAAAAAACCCTTCTTTCTTTTCACAGTGAGAGAGGGACTGGCCCAGCAGATCGAAAATCTTCATTGTTTTTTCTCACAGCTATGAACTGATGATCCAAGCTCCTTCAATGGTGGTGCTGCATCTTCTAATTGTTATTAGCATCCGTTCTTAATTAGTACATCACCTGCCAATTTTTAGTTTTTTTTTTTTTTTTTTTTTTTAATTTACTGCTATTTCAAGATTTCTCGAGTTCATATGCGGTGGAAGTGAATAGTTTAACGATTCAATCAATCTTTATTTTTTCAAGAACGATGTGGCTCTAAGGTAAAATCTACTTTCAGTTTCCTGCTTTTCTGATTCATGAATGTCGTGGGTTTCATAATAACCCGTTTCCTTTTTATCTTTTCTTGTAATCTACAAAAAATGATAAAATAATTGATTTGGGTATATAGAAAATGTTAATTATTACATTAAATTACAAAAAGTTATAAATTTATCAATGAATAGTACAATGGCCGAATTCTCAAAAAAATAGAAATGGACTCTAATTATATCACCAGGGAGTAACAATTTAGGGTTCTTAATTTGTATCAAGTTTCTTGATTTGGGTCTTTTTAATAACATTTGCTAACTCTTATCCAATTCCGTTCTTTCTTTGTATATATTATATATATATATATATATATATATATATATATATATATATATATATATATATATATCTAATCTAGATCCTCAAATTCATATAACCAGCAAAAGGGGAAGTTTTTTTACTGGTTTCTTTACGAATGTTTAGGGTTCTTGATATGCTAAATTGACTGTTATCTAATGTCGATAATTCATATTTTTTGCACCATTAACATCGCAATATGTGATTGACTAATTTGCAGGAATGGGAACAGAAGTACACTACAAGAACTCGTTTTACTCCATGAGAAATGTCAATGAAGATTCAAATAGCAACAGCTGGCATCTCTTTTATGGTGATAACCCCTTCACGAACAGCCATTATTACAATAATTTTAATCCAAGAACCATCACAGATCCCTATATAGCTCATGAAAAAGCCGAATTAAAACAAAAAATGCTTCAACACGAAGCCATATTTAAGAACCAGGTATACGTTTTTTACTTTTTCAATTAAATGCTCATAAACGACAATTAACTCATTTGAATTTGTGTTATCTCATTCTCACCAGGTTTACGAACTCCATCGTCTTTACAGAAGACAAAGAGACATGATGGAAGAGGCTAAAAGAAAGGAGTTTAACAAATACCAGATTCCCATTGACACATCATCTTCTTCAAGCTTCATGCCACCTCAAAAATGGCAGATTTCTGGACCTTCCATTTTTGGAGTTGACATAAGTAATTCTCCTCCTATAAGTTATTCAAAAGGGAATAATGATTCAAAGGACTGTGAGATAATCGATTGTAGTAGACCTTCAAAAGTTAGAAAAAAGTTATTTGATCTTCAACTTCCAGCTCATGAATACATTGAACCAGAAGATGATGAACAAGTTTTTGATAACCATGCATCTGAAATTTCAAGCTACTTACCTAAAAATGGAATAAAAACATTTCTTGAAAATAGTTACAGAAATTCTCCATCTGGTCAACACTGTATGTGGTCAAACGGGTTGACTGATCTTAATGAACCGATTTACATTCAACCACCATTCAACCATTTCCATGGTAAAGAAGTTCATCATCATCATCATCGAGGAACTTATTCTGAAATTTCTTCAAAAATTCAAGATAATCAAACCCCTTCGATCTTCACCACTTCCAATGCATACCCGTTTATTACCACCTCAGATAGCTTGACTCGCAAATTACAAAAATACCCTTCGTTTCTATCATCTACTACAGGAAACGGGTGTCACGGGGACCGGTTTTTTCACGGGTCTTCATCTGGGTCAAAAGAAGTAATTGATTATCGAAACTGCAAAAAGATTGATGATGGGTCCCAAAAGAAATTTAAAGGTTCAAACTTTATAGATTTAACAGATACTATTACCAAGGGTATGGACTTGAATACTATTCAAATTTTGTCTGATAATGAAGACGATTCAAGAAAATGCGATCAAACTGTGTTTCCATGGCTCAAATCTGAACCGGGTATCTGTAAAAATGGTGATGTATCAAAGGAGAAAGATAAGAAAAAGCTATTAGGGTTTCCGATTTTTGGGAACTTTTGTAAAAATGATGCTTCTTCTTCTGTTGTTTCCACCTCTGCATCAATTGAAAAAAGAGGGATCGACATCAATGTAGCTTGGGATGATGTCAATGATGAGAAACAGATTGATGTGGAAGAAACAGATGCAGAAATCAAGAATTTCAAGAATCATTTTGATTTGAATTCGTGTGTGACAGAGGATGATGAACTGTTAGTTACAGTTACAGTTACAACAGAGTCTGTAAAAAGCTCGAAGAAGAAGATGACAATGGAGATAGATTTAGAAGCACCTGCTGTTTCAGAGATCGAGGAAGAAGCAATACAGTGTGGGGAGGAACACAAGAAAACTGTACAACTTGAAAAGATTGCTGTTGAAGCAATCGTTGAGATATCCAGTCAGCAAGAAGATCAAGTGGGCCCCACGGAAAATGACGATCAACTTTTATGGTTTGTTGAGGTGATTGAGAAAAACACGGTTTTTGCAACTCGTGAGACGGATGAATATGAGATGTTGACTTTACAGATGGAAGAGAGTAAAGAACAAGATTACATGCCTGCCCCTCTGGTTCCTGATGAACAGGAACCAGATGAGGTGGGGCCGGGGCCTGCTCTGTCGAGCAGGCCCCGAAGAGGGCAGGCAAGGAGAGGTAGACCCCGGAGGGATTTCCAAAGGGATATCCTTCCGGGGATGGAGTCTTTATCAAGACATGAGATAACCGAAGATCTTCAGATATTTGGAGGCTTGATGAGAGCTACAGGGCATTCTTGGAATTTTGGAACAATGAAGAGGAATGGGAAAAGAGTTGGGGCTCGGGGGAGGAGGAAGGGGAAGGCGGTGGAGATAACTCCGGCCGCCACCACACCACCACCACCACCAGTGGTGGGATTGGAGGAAAGAAGCTTTACAGGGTGGGGGAAGACAACTAGAAGACCCAGAAGACAAAGATGTGGTGTGGGTAATGCGGTTGCTGTTCAGTCAACATGATCTTGAAATCTGAACCATGGATTCAGGTGATGTAAGTAAGCCTGGTGTGGTGTGTGTTCTATTTTGTTACAGATGTTTCGTGGGTTCTTTTTGATACATACGATGATCAAATTGACACGTGATTAGTTCATAGATTCATGGGGAAAAAAAAGGAATTGTGGTTGTTGGTCATGATGTCATTGGTAAGATTACCAATCAAGTGAACAACTCAATTTGGCAATGTGTTTAGGTACATTGAAAAGTGCAGTCAAAGTGTTTGATGAAATGTCCAACCCAGGTTTGTTTCGTGTAAAATGATGATCAGATGTGTTTTCAAATGATTTACGACTTCAAAACTATTGGCCACCAATATATGACCTGACCCTCGAACCCAATTTTACGATAAAGAACAGTAACTTGTGATTAGAAAAGCTGCACATAAAGACATACATATGTTTTTTTTTTTTTTTTATCAATAAATAATGATGATTTAAATCTGACAACTTCTGCATATAAAACTTTAAGTTCACGTTTCAATAATATAAAAATATTTCAATTCTTTATTAAAGATGCTCAAAATGACTTATTTAATAGAAAGCAATAATGAAGGAACAGAGAATAGGATAAGCCTCAACACAACTCTCATGAACAACGTGTGTCATTTGAAACATGAAAATAAATAATTCCTACTTCTCTTCAATTTTTTGACAGTATTGCAGTTGAATCTCTAAAAGGGTTGTTATTAATCAATTTATGATGAAAATAACAAATATAGCCTCTCTATTTATAGTTACTGTGATCCTAATGCAGAAGAAAACTATTAATTAGAAAATAAATTGGAAACTCTAAATGTTTTAAAAAAAAATGGCTAACCAAAAATGACTCCACCCGGTTGGGCTGGTCGGGTCATATCACGGAACTGGATCCCAGCAGTTAATTTGTTAGTGTTAGTTAGGGGTGAACATTTGGACCGAACCGGACCGGACCGGACCGAACCGGCTCTTGGACCGGACCGGTTATGGAGAATATTGTGGACCGTGGACCGGACCGGATGAGTCGTGTCCGTGTCCGTGTCCGGGTTTTCCGGTTCTTAGACCCGTTTGGACCGGTACAACTTTAATTGCATAGAGTACAATTCGTTAAAATAAGTTTTTGGGTTTGATAGAAGTCGTTAAAACAAATATATTGTTGGGTTTGATATGATACAACTTGTAAAAATGATTACGTTTCCGTTTCATGCATAACTAATCTACCTTGATGTTATAATATTATAACTTGCAAAATTAATTTTTCAAATAAAAGCAACTAACATATAGATCAAGTTCACAAATATCCCTTTCATTTGAATCAAGTTCACCAGACTGTAACTCATTGAATATAACACCAAAATCAACAAAATTATAGTCTAAATTCATCTACAAACTGTAAATTAAACGTTGGAAAAAACCACGTGTCAATCCAACTTAAAACGAATGAGTTATGGTTGTTTAAAAAAATTCACAGATTACAAATTTTTTTTTAAATCGGGTCCAACCGGTTCTAAACCCGGTAAAAACCGGACCGGTTTTGATGGATTCCTAGAACCGAGAACCGGCCCAGGGGTCCAAAAAAACGGTCCGGTCCGGTCCGGTCCGATTCACCAGTCCAAATGCTCACCCTAGTGTTAGTTTTCTAACAACATAGCTATTTAGAGCCCATTTTAAATTGAGTAATCTGATCTTTTTAACAAAAATGATCAATTTTTTTTTTGTAAATTAACCACATTCTCCAGAACATATTGTTTCGGAGAGGTCTCCGGAATTCCGGAGTACGATTCCGGACCATGGTTCCGGAATATATTTGACTTCTATTTTTTTATATTTTATTTTTTCTATTTTTTTATTGTAAAATGTAATACATGGTTCCGGAATACATTTGTAATACATGGTTCTGGAGTATAATATATAAGTTTTGCTTTCATAAAATGTATAACTTTTGGTTTTATAAAATATAAAATGCAATTAAAATGAACAAACAACTAATAAATACATAAACTAAATAAAGGATGTGTGTGTATGTTATATTACAAATACAATGTTCAAATTATTTTTGTCCTTGTACCCCAAAAATATTTCTGCTAGTCGTTTTCTATAGAAATCGATTTTTCTGTGGTTTTATCCTCTATAGAAATCGATTTTCCGATGATCAACGCCTCCAGGAACCAACACAAAAATACCCCACAATCCCCTCTGGTGCCAATCTGTTGTGGTACGTCTGGGGATTTTTCGAGGGTCATCTTGAAGCTCTCGAGTGAGATTGAATAAGTTGGTTTGGTACCCCAGTAGTTAACTCCCACCGGCAGTTTGTGGCTGTTGGCTCTCATACCTATAAACCAATCCTCATTTTCCACACAGTAGCCGCCCCTTCCAGTGACTATCATATATAGTCATTTGAAATGTCTTCAAATCCAAAGCACCCCAAAACCAATGAGCATGTGGTATATTGATTGGAATGTAAAACTACAAAAAAGGTTAGAAATAATTAATTAGTATATAAATACTCAGGTAATGTAATCCAAACAAAATTATATCGTATCACACTTTGCCAAAGCTGGGTAAACGGATTCGTCATCCATGTCACTCCAATCAAATATATCAATGTTGAAAGCTGACGACACAACCGTCCACCGAGCAGCATCCGCTCTACGCTCTATCATCAATGAGATCCACATCATGATGTGTTGCCAATTAATTTTTTGCAGTAAAGTAAGTATTGTTATTAGAAGCGTATTATGTAATAAGCAAATAATTATATTACTTGCATCACATGACAACCATCCTCCATACTATCCGCATATAATCTTATCCAAAACTCAAGCGTAGCAAAACCGGTCAAATAATTGTGACCAAACAACAACGACTCATCCCGTTCTTTATAAACAGTATGTACTGTAGGATCTAAAAGTTTGTCCAACGGTGCTGGTTGTTGTCGTGTAACATATTTCCTCTTCATTGGTATCCATGGCGACTTATACCATATGTGCATAACTATTTGGAGCTTAGAACACTTAAGAGGTGCTGGCGATGGTGTTTTGTATTCATCCCGCAGAATCTCTTTTACATTTGACGAGTGAATAACTGGAGACGACTGCTCAGGGCCGACATTCAGCGACTATTCAGGGTCGTCATTCAACGGATTTTCGGGGGTGCTTAAGATATAATCATGTTCCCATAACTCATTATCATTGTAGTATCCATGTAAGTTTCAATAATGTATACTTGTTTAGCCAACCGCCCATTGAAACCCTTCTCTAACAGGTATAGAAGACATACACGGATTGCATCCTCGTCCGATAACTCATTAAGTGAATTTTAAAACACCTTCGTAACATGGTCTAATTTGACCGAGACATTCGTCGGGACCATAGGAAAGGCACGGGAACGGGATGCAAAAGCAGGAAAATAGTCACCAAACCGGAAGTCGGTGATGAGACAAAATTCTTTCTTCCCGAAAGACAGCTCGTAACCCCCAAACTCAAATACCATGTCATGTACTTGGCTTCGGGGGTCGATGACAACTTCGTGACAGAAGACGTAATGTAGAAGCAAATGATCCCTATCTACATTAGGAATGTCTAACCACCTCCCGAAACATGTATTCGACAACATAGTCTCGCATTCGGGTTTTTTCTGAATACCGCAAGAATTTCCCCGCCGATTTTGGATTTACACGAGTGTGTATTGATGCATCTAAAACCATGTCGTGCTGCACAAATAAAAAAAGTGTTATCACTTCATTCTAAAATGGAAATGACTAATATTACAGAGTTGTTCACTTCATTCTAAAACCTTTCTTCATGTTCCAGACGAGTTCATTGTGTTCCGGAACAGTTCTTCGTGTTCTGGAGGCTTCCAGAATAAAATTTTAAGATCCGGAACACGACATTTCGATGTAAATCAACAATACCTAAACATCTAAACTACTTTTCAGTTGGTCCTACAACAATGACATCTTTAAATTAAACTCAAGAATGTTTTCAGTTCATTCCGGAGGTGGTCTACGAATTCCGGAACAATAACAATAGAAAAATAGGAACCTTAAACAAACAAAGAGAAAACGAAGAACGTACTTGTAAAATAACGGGGTCGTAGTGCTCGTATTCCATGGTGAAGATGGGTGTCGATGTGTGTCGGAGATGGGAGTTGCGTTGCGTGTCGGAATCGAATCGGAACGTCGGAATGGATTCGGAATGTCGGAATTGGAATGCGCCTTTCCAGAATGAAATCACCGCCTCAAATTATATTCCAGATTTTGAAATTCAAAATCCTAATCCGGAACATATACGGTTGATCCAGAATAGGCATTCCGGATCCAATGCAATGGGCCTAGCCACCCAAAAAATAATCCAGAATTTGTTCCGGAACGACCCATTTCGGAATACGTGGTTATTTTGCAAAAAAATGTTATATTTAAAAAAAAAAAAAAAACCCAAAAAAGTGGTTAGATTACTCAATTTCCCCATTTTAAATGTGAAATTATAAAACCTCACTAGATCCTTAGACCTAAATACAACAACATTGTTAAAACTTATGGAAAATGACTTAAGAAAGTAACGAAGTTTCAAAAATATACAAAAAAGATCATTGTATTTTTTTAGTATATAAAATACTAATAAAGTATATTTTTTGTACACAAAATACCAACGAAGTACACATGTGTTCAAATAAAACCTTGTGGTAACCGATTACCTCAAGTAAACGGAAAAATGACTTAAAAATGTAACGAAGCTTTCAAAATGTTCAAAAAATACCATTGTTTTTTAGTACAAAAAATATCATTGAAATATACCATTTGTACATATAATATCAACGAAGTATACATTTTAGTACAAAAAATATCATTGAAGTTTCCAAAATGTTCAAAAACAAAAATACTATTGTTGTTTTTTCAGAGCACCTTTTGTTAACTTCGTTGTTTCCGGATCACTTAGAACACGGTCATCGATGATTATTCACTGTCATACCAGTTCACACCAGTTATTTACTCTTTTTTTTTCCCTCACTCGACCAGTTTATATTGAAATACAATCATAGAAAAACACATAACTAAGAATCCATCAATTAGGATGCAAGTTGTTCAAGCGCTCCAACACATATGCTTCTCTTTGACTTCGACTACAAATCGTCATCAAATCAACAACATGACGCTGAGTGTTCATGACCATTCATCTCTCACTGGTCCCAGAGAATTAAACGCAACTCCTATTCTCCACATCTACATAATCCGACAACAATGAAGTTAACAAAAAATGCGGTATTTTTTGAACATTTTAGAAACTTCGTTATGCTTTAAGTCATTTTTTCCATTTACCTGAAGTACCTGGTTACCAGAAGGTTTTATGTATGTGTACTTTGTTGGTATTCTGTGTACAAATAGTATACTTTAATGATATTTTTTAAACAAAAAAAACAACAATGATATTTTTGAACATTTTGGAACCGAGTAACCTGATGGTTACTTACAAATAGTAACCTGAGGGTTACCTACAATAGCCGGTTCAATGATATTTTGTTTACTAAAAAAAGACAATTGTATTTTTTTGTATATTTTTAGAACTTCGTTACCTTTTTAAGTCATTTTCCCTTAAACTTAAAACAAAAGCAAGCGTTAAACTTAAAAACAAAAGCAAGCGTGTACATAGGTTTGGACTTTGGAGTGAAATATAAAAGACAAACATGTAATATTTAGAAACTTTAAGCAATTAATATGTCCAACGTGATAAACAAGAACTAGAGACCCATTATTATACGTATCTGTGCTAGAATTTAATTTCAGAGAGTTTAAAGGCTCCATGGCAAATTTCTAATATCAAAACTTTAAAAATCTAAGGACTGAAATGCAATTATCTTGACATTATCTTTTTGACCCGAATTCTCCAACCCGCTGCCATTCACATGAAACAAAGTTCCGGCCTTTTTTCATTTCTTTTTGTCGAAATACATATTCTCCACAGTTTTAATGATATATTTAAGTCGCATAACCAGAAATTCATTTCTACCTACCTCACTGTTTCTCTTGTTCTAGATAAACAATAGTTGCAATTACTTTCAAGATTTTGCCCAAACACAACACAATTACCACCTAATTTATTCAAGACAACTCTTACACAAAGAAATAACACATCACAACCAAAAAACTATTCACATGGATGTATCTAAATGAACTCCAAAATCAATTTCTAGAACAAAATTACCAAAAATTTAAATGATCACATTTTCGGACTTTCCCCCGGGTCGATTATATACATATTTCGTTCTTGGATCCACAACAAGCCCTTTCCCTCCGTTCACTTCCAGGTCATGCCTAAAAAACAAAAACCCGTCAAACAAAAATTCAAATGATGACATCATCATTTATAAGCCTAAAATAAAAACCAACATATCACACATGAACATTCATGTAAAGTTAATTTAGTAAAAAAATAAAAAAGAAGTAAAAATATTAAATAAACACTCAACTGGAAGACAAAGTCCGGGATGGTTAGCTGTTCACGAGGAACATATTTGAAGAGATGAAGAAGCCGCTCAACATATACAACCTTCTTCCACACCTGTAAGTAATTCATTTCCATTTACATACTGTATAACTGATTACTATTATTTATGTAAATCTTTATTTTTATTTTCTCTTCTTTCAAAAAGTCAAGAATGTTAGGGCATGGCATACCATGTTGTCTACTAAGAGTTGCATTGTGAAAACTGCAGCCTTCAGTCCAAAACTTGGATGTAGGACATAGATTGCCTGTTTGCATATATATACAAAATATTAAAAAAAAAAATTGGTACTTAATTCGCTTTAAACCAATGCTCTGATACCAAATTAAAAATACATGTAGTTGCTAATATTGCTTACATGGAGATTCCGCTGACTTTTCCTACCAAGTATTTGTTGTAATTTCCTCATCCATCCTAGATCTGGTTGCCTGTTAATTCCATCAACTTGATTTACAAACTCAAGATTTAAATGGATAATGTTGAATATATCTTTATCAAAAGATAAAGCATGTTTACTAGTCAATGGATAAAAATTAATTATATGGCTTAAAGAGTACTCACACTTGTAAAGATGCAGCAGAGTGAAAGTAAACAATGCTATACGCCTTCTGTATCAAGGGCTCAAATTCCTGTAATTCCAACATTCACAAGAAAAACACACATTCTTATTCATCAAAACTTAATACAATTAATAAAATAATCGTCTATTGTGAAAATTTTCAATTTATTATTCATATTACCTTTACTATGTAGAGTACAAATCTGTCAAGATCAAGACAACGAAGAAGAAAATGTGCTCCAACTATAACCATAACTAGGCGACCTTCACTATCTACTCCCCCTCGATACCTAAAACAAAAGTAATATGCAACCAATAATAGCAATGTACTTTCAGTATATATAATTGAATATAAATATATAAAATTATAAATATAAAGTATTGAAAGTGAAATACACTACTTACACAATCTTCATTTCTGCTATTTCAGAAAGATTCCTAGAGTTTGCTTTAGCAAGGTATCTAGAATGGAGTGAGTATTCTTCAGCAGCTGAAAGTGGGGGCCCACCAACATCACCAACCCTAGAATTTTACCCAATTTAAACCCGTTTTGTGCTTTTGCTGTTTTTTCCCATTGTTCTTTGCGTCTTTGATCTGGATCCTTGATTAGAGACATGAAAGCTGGATCCAGATATGAATCCAAATATGATGAAGAGTTCCTTTCATGAAAACAATAAGTTTAGTTATCAAGCTTCTGCTAAAACAACAGTAAAACACAATGAGCTTTTGAGTTGACTAACCTTCTGGTCAACCCACGATCATTGATAGGAACATCTATCAAGGCTTGGCGAGGTTTTGGAACACTCTTCTTCACATTGGGTAAAGATTTTATTCTGATTTTCCTTTCATCTATAAGAGTCTCACCATTTTCATCCCCAACATCAGCAGGAAGCTTCATAATTGCAAAACTTTCCTCCTTTCTATCGCGTGGAAAGTAGAGTGGAAGCAATCTATAAGCAAAAAGGACATGAAGGAGAAAGTGATTAAATGGATACAAAACAAAATCAAAACTTTATTCTAACCATATTCAAAGAAACAAAATCAAAGCTAACCTTTTATATATATCTGTATCATTTGCTGCAGTTGTACATAAAACTACTGCTGTAATATTATCCTTTTGTTTCTCAAGAAACCGGCGAATTGTTCCTGATATATAGCATAAGAATTAGAATATTTAAAATCTTTATAAAAGAAACAGGGAATTTAAAGGTTTTTCTTACTTATTGCAACATGTGCAGCTGGTTCTCGCGGATAATATTTTGCTTCTGTGTATATACAGCCAATAGCAATGCTGTGTATATAAATTTGAGGGACAATAAGGTCAAGTATCGCCATATTATATACAACCACCATATGAAAAGGGACAAATAATTATTGGGTATGAGAAAACCTCTGAAGTCTGTTTTCAATGAGAAGTTCTAGACAAGAACGATAGCAGTGACTCAAAGCATTTTCTGCAGCTGTATGATATTTTACAGCATATTTAGGCCCCACAGTATGTATGATCCTCCTAAAAGAAAAATCAAAAACATATTATTTAATATGGTCAACTAAAAGTGAAAGTATACAATCTAATGCATACCTTGCAGGTAGATCATATGCATTGGTAACTCTAGACATCCCTGTTCTACAGCCACCCTATGAAAGTCAAAGGTTACATCAGATTATTTTGGTATTTTTGAAGTCTTCTTGATTGTGATATAGCCAAAGATGTAGCTAAACCAAGAAGTTGATTATTTTGATCATTTATTATGAGCAAAGTATAGTAGTATACAAACACTTGTACAAAAACATTAAAAGGTGTAAGTAGAAAGGTAAGTTACCAGTGTTGAACATTCTTCAGCAAGACCAGGCCCTGATGCAGCATGCAAACCAGGGCTACAGTGTGCTTCATCCATGTTCTGTAAAGGAATTCCATAATATACAGTTAGATGAAAGAGTCAAATTGGACAAATTCAGAATGATAAGAGCTCACCTCATTTGTGGAATTGACAACAGCATCAACCTCCATATTCCAAGGGTTTCCTCTCCACAGATAAATCTTTGAGTTAACTTCATGATCAACTGGAAACCTTGAAACAATTCCTGTCCCACTACTCTCTGCCTCAGATGATGAAGCTAAAGGGTCTGGAAAATGTGAACTGGGATCTTCAATTTCATCAGAATACCTAAAATCATCATCAATCCATCGAGGAACTTGGTCAAGTGTCACAACAGTATCTCCACTTTCAGTGGGGAGTCCACCATGATCGGTTATGGCTGACACTGGCCGATGCATCGCAATCAGTATCACTACCCTCCTATTCCTTCTATTCTGTCAACTCAGAGAAGTTCAAAAACCGTCGTCGGACGTTTTCAAGCCCTCAAACACCTTCACACCATTAAAAATGAATCCACTGAGCTTCGAATTTAACCGATAAAAAGAATTTAGGGCAACTAGGGAGGCTGAGCAAAGTTTACTGAATTATATCCCGATTGGCGATTAGTCAACTTTATACGAAATTGAAAAGGTATTCTAAGTCTCTATCAGTGACATGATACTGAATCATTGAGTGTTGTAAAAACTATTGATTCGAGCTGTAATGTAATTAAATAAGAGAAAAACATGCATCAGAATCATATCCAAAATAACAGAACATCTCGATGTCGTGCTAAACGAATTAACAAATAGATGCATTATGTTAACGATATCATAACACATACATACCTTAATCGGTGAAAAACTATGGAGCTATATGTATTTCGAGATAGAAAGAGACGACGACGACAAGTTGCTGGCTTTGGCTAGAACTTGAGGTGAATTTGGTGTACAGAGGTTTTGTTTGTCTTCTTGGTTGGATCCGACTGCTGCTAATGTGTCTATCAGAACTATCCTCTTGGAAACTACAGTAGTATGATTTTGTAGGAGTATTCACACAAAAAGATAGAATCTCAAGTGACATTGACATTTAAATCGAGGTAAAAAAAGCTTGTAAAAGTTAAAAAAAAAAAAAAAGGGTATGAGAGTAGTATAAAGTTTTTCCCCTCTGTGTGTGACGACATTAATTTTTATAGAAGCTTTGTTTTTTAGAAAACTATATATCTAAAAAGATTTATATGATTTTTTTGGAACGGATTAAAATCTTTTAACATCTTCTAATATCTTCCGGTTTAAAAAAACATCTTAAAAAAAGCATCATTAATCATATCCAAAATAGCAATAAATCTTGAAGTTGATCTAAATAAACTAATTAAATAGATACATCATGTTTAGAGTATCATATAAAAAAGAGTATATAAGGTCATCGGGTATGTTCACGGGTGAAAATTACTTCACATCATCATAATTCCTTTTTCACAATACATTCAATATTAGCTGGAAATGGTGTTTACTAGTGAACAAAAGAGAAGTCAATGAGAATACATTTAATTTGGAGCTACCCAATCATAATTCTTGTAAGCATCCATGAAGCTAGCTACTCCACACTACCACTACACCCATTGAGGGCGGTATTCACGTGTGAACATCTCCTCTACGTAGATCCTTACGCGCCTAACCCCTTCACCCCCCCCCCCCCCGGGATGGCCTAATGGTGAGAAACTCTAGAGCTATAGCCTACGTGTACTTCAAGTAGGCGTGTCGAAAAAAAAACTAAAATAGAATAATAAGTCCACACCAAATGAGGTTTGAGTTATTTAGTTCGCTTGATTTGGTTTTGATTGATATGTTTGGTAAACCGACTAAACATAGTTTTATTCGGTTCGTTTATGAATACTTTTTCAATATTCTGGTAAAATTGAATAACTCGAATACGCAATTACATTTCTATTTTTACAATCTAAGAGATATGAAATATACTTTGTAATTGTCTAATGTTAAAATATATCGTAATATGAAAAATAGGTATGAAATTTACTTTAAAAGTGATTAGACGTTAAAATATTCATAAGTTATAAAAATATATATCGAAATTTACTTTGCAAAATTTATAATGTTAAAGATGTAATACTAAGCTAATAGTATATGTTTGCAATTAATGTGTAGTTCGGTTTATTCCACATCCATTTTATCTGAGTAAAAATGATAGATTTAAATATAATATGGTTCGTCATCCTAAAAAAATTGTGTTCAAGATTAAAGAAATCAAAGATTGGGGTTTCAAGTGTAAAAATAAGGTTTTCTTATCCATTTATTGGAGTCGGTTAAAAAAGGCCGATATATATATATATATATATATATATATATATATATATATATATATATATATATATATATATATATATATATATATATAGAGAGAGAGAGAGAGAGAGAGAGAGAGAAATGATCATTTGAGAACCTATAGTTTCCCGAGAACCCGAAAACTAAAAGAAGAGCGTTAGATAAAAAAAATGATGGTAAAGATGTATTGTGGCATTTTTGTAAATAAATAAAATAGTAAAAGGGCGGGGGTATATTAATAAAATGTCACTGAGGCTATTTTAGGGATAATAGAAAATGGCTCAGGAATAAACCGATCAGATCCTTCTTCCACGAACCAAGAGAGCGTACGATGTGACCTTCACCTCCGTCAGATGCATCATCGCCGCCTCTACCTGCATCAGATCGTTCTGTCAAATGTCGTCGTTGCCGCCTTCGCTTCCGTCAAATCGACTTCTCTCGTATTCTTCACTGACTCTCCCTATCGTCCGCCTCCCTCCACCCTTCAATAGTTGGCCCTCCCTGTGATTGAATCAAATTTCATCGTGGTTGCTCTATCGATCTGATAGATATGGAAACGACCTTCCGATCACATTTTAGGTTCACCTTAATTTATCTCGACTGAACCGATTCACCCTCTGATGTAAAAGAATCACTTGGAAAATACTCCAATGATGGGATCCATATGACTATCCATCAACTACACGATTTGTTGATGAGTTCCAGGGCGGCGATGATGCATCAATTTCAAATATTGAGTGTATACTGGAACACGTTCTTCACAAAGGTATCCGATTACTAAAAAAATTCACTAACTCCGATCTACATCGAAATTGAAAGAGGATTATGTTTTGTTATCCTGATGTGATTAATCTTCAAATTCACGCATAGAAGAAATCTTACAATTGTGGTCGAATTAACATATGTGGAGAATAATTTAAGAACTAGTTGTTTTCATTTGAATGTTTGGTATGAAGATTATGAAAATTAATTATTCAGATACGTAACCTCATCTAAATTAACTGATTATCAAACTATCTGATGCTGGTTCTTCAATTTGCAATGCTCAACTTGAAAATTCACATCCAAATCATAGTGGATCTAACGGTCCACTTTTAGTTCTCGGGTTCTCAGGAAACTATGAGTTCTCAACCGATCTCAACCCTATATATATATATAGATATATATATATATATATATAATATATATATAGATATATATATATATATATATAGGGTTGAGATCGGTTGAAAACTCATAGTTTTGCCGAAAATCTAAGAACTAAATGTGGAGCGTTAGATCAAAATTAACTCATTAAGGGTATGATCGTAATCTTACCGATCTCATTTAATGTTTTTTTTTGTGTTATTGAACAAAATTAACATAGTAAATCAAATTTAGGATTTTTTTTAAAATAATTTTTGATTTTTTTTAAATGGAGATTTTTTAATTTTTTTCAGAAAACATAAATTTTTTAAAAAAAACTGTAATTCTTTTAAAAAACTGTTTTTTTTTTCAGAAAAACTGCAATTTGTTTTTTTTTTTTAAAAACTGCATTTCTTTCAAAAAAAAAACTGCATTTTTTTCAAAAAAAAAACTGCAATTCTTTTTTAAATGTACTTTTTTTAAAAAAAAACTGCAATTTTTTCAAAAAAAATATCCAATTTAGAAAAAAAAAAACTAGTAATATAAAAAAAAACCCTAATTTTTTTAACAAAAAAAAAATCAACGTTTTAGGTATATATATGCATATTTTTTCAAATGCATATTTGCATATTTATTATACTATAATATTCGTAAGTAATCATAAAAAATCTTATTTTTATTAATCAATCTATAAACATAATAGTACAAGTATTTTATTGAATACAAAGTAAAATGGAAAAAATAAAAAAACTACAAAGATTCACAGTGTTATCATTTCTTCATATCAAGATTTCCATATTTTCTTCAATTTCACTTTTTACATCTTCAAAATTTTCCACAAATTCTTTCAAATCTACAAGAAAATAAAAATAAAAAATTATTAATGCAAGAACACTCATAAAAATGCATATGTATATATCATGTAAGATTCATAAGCGATTATATAATGTGATATTCACATTGATTATATCATTTAAGATTCAAATGTGAAATTCACAATAAAATAAAAACGAAGAACACTAACACAAAATGCATGTATGCATATAGACGTAATTCATATATGATTCACTCGTGACTTACATATGAATTACATGTGATTTATATGTGAATCACGTGCGATTTATATGTAACACCCATAAAATTCATGCCAAATTTAAACTTTTAAATTTATTCCAAATACCAATAGTTATTACAAAAAGGTTTCCAAAATAGTTTTATATCAGATTTCCCAGAAATCATAATCATAAATCGAGGAAGTGTACGGTCACGCCTTCGCCTTCCCGCGGTCAGCCGCTGTACCTGAAACAATAATCGATAAATGTAAGCTTGGAGGCTTAGTGAGTTACCCTCAAAATACTAACCTCATATAACCATAACATATCATATAACCAATACAGAACAACCATGCATCTCGAGTCTACAGTGTGACTGGTCCGCCCGCACCGGGCCTTCAGTCCACCTGGTCCACTCTCTGAGTCTACAGTATGACTGGACCGCCCGCACCGGGCCTTCAGTCTATCTGGCCCACTCTCCGAGCCTCGGCGTGTCTGGACCGCCCTCTCGGGGCCTTCAGCCTATCCGGACCGCTCGTTGGGCCTTCGGCCTGACTATGTGCCCTCCCGGGTCTGTAGTCTATCCGGTCCGCCCTGGGTATGTTGGCCTACAGCACAAAGCAGGACCCGCCTCAACCCAACCCCCAATCAAAACAACCATGTGCACATATAACAGATAACCACATAACAGTCTATAGACAAACAAACCGATCTAACATATCATATAGCATAGCAATATCCTATATACCAAGATACCGACCTAATCCAGGTCACTAACATAACATCATCCTATATACCAGGATACCGACCTAACCCAGGTCACTAAACATAATACTGTCCTAACTACCAGGACGCAGATCTAACAGATCAGTAAACATATCATGCAAATACCCGGATACAAATCCCATAAAGGGCCGGCCTTGGTGCCGTAGACCCTGTTGATATAGTAAGGAGAACTCACCTCGCAAGTGGAGCTGAAGTACTGCAATTCCTGACTGCTGTCTCCCCGGAACCCCACACTATCACACCATAAATAATAAGTTAATACCCACCATGACCTTCTTGACTAAATGTCCCCACCATGCTCATACTTTCCCAAAATACGCCAGAAGTCCGATAGTCAACCCTCGGCCAAAGTCAAAGTCAACTATCAAGGTCAACAGTCCATGTTGACCTCAACTCGTCGAGTACCCTCAGCTACTCGCCGAGTTCCTGGCATGACTCGCCAACTCGCCGAGTCATTTGAGTGACTCGTCGAGTTCCTAGTGTCAGTGGCCGTAACTCCTTGGCCAACTCGCCGAGTTTTTCCTTTACAACTCGCCCCGTTCATACGTGTCCAATGGTTGGGAAAACCCTCGCCGACTCGCCGAGTCACTCGACTGACTCGCCGAGCCCACGAAAACCTTCATCGGGCTCGCCGAGTTGACCATGCAACTCGCCGAGTCCCTTCAGTCCTTCATTCATACAGATGCTTTTTAATCCATTTTAAGTTTCCATACTACAGATCCAACCTCCAAAGGCATGTTTATCACG